GAGCTTTGAAGATTCGGTAGCGGTAGTGTTTACTTTAACGGGATGGGGTTGCTAGCCTCATGCCCAATCTTTCCTCTTCACCAGTCTTATTATTAGCTTAGCGAAGTAAAGGAGTGTGTCGGCCGGGGATCGAACCCCGGACCACCTGCATAGTCGGCGAGCATTCTACCACTGTGCCACCAAAGCACAAGAGAGGTATACTGTCAAATTATTCTTGAAGAATTACCTCTACGATATTTATAAGATCCTGTTGGTAATCAGGAGACAGAATCTAGTGAACGATTCCACACAGTATCTGAAGTGATTACTAGTGAAGTCACCAAGCCACACTCACTTACTTACTCACCAGAAATACAAATACAGTTGACAAAAAACGCAAATAAGACGAAACGTGAGTTATACAAAATATAAAAAAATACATCGATTCACCAGTATACAAAAATAAAGAAATAATCTTATTGAAAGCATGTGACATCATGATTAATTGTTTTGAAGAATGTAGCAGTAACATTAGTATAAGTATATAAAACTATGTGAAATCAAATATAAGACAAACGAAGCAGACAATAAAATCGTAGGATGGCATGCAAATGTATATTATGAAGTATCTACATTATGAAGTGTTAGTTAAATGCATTCAATGTCTGTCTGTCTATCTATCTATATGTCTGTCTGGATGTGTGTGTGTATAATTCTGATAAGTGATGCCGAAGATTACCTGGAAATCGTTCCACTTATTTTGAAAGAATAAAGTGTTACTGTTGTCATTGTTGCTTAATTAATTACTCAGAGATAAAAAATAAAATTTATGCTGTCAGTTAAAACACGTGTTAGGTGAGTAATAAACTAATGATGATAGGCTAAAACTAATGTTTATTATATTATAGTAGGAGAGACGACTAACTACAACCACAACAACTCCGATAATATACTTAGTTTCTTAGTACCTTGGGAAACCGAAACTAGGGCGCTTCTCATATACATCGGCATAAACACGTGTTGCTATTTTTAATGAATTTGTCATCAAGAAAATTATTTTACAAAAGCATTCAGCAGAGAAAAAGTTTCTTTATCAACGCTATCATCATTTTCAAAGCCCATACAAGAATCGTATTTATATCTTCTATAGTTTGGTTTGTAAGGGTTAGTTATGTTTTTATGAGTTGCGATCACGGATTGATATCAGTTAGAGAACCATTGAAAACCAGCACCGGTGTACTGGAATGCCAACTGCCTCATCCTAGTTTGGCAATCATCGGCAGTACGCACCCACCACATGGTATTCGAACCCAGGACCTTCTGCTTACAAGGCGAGCTCGTATACCATTCAGCCACTGGGACCCCCGATTCAATGGCTCATGAATTCTAACTTCTAATAATTCATGATTTAGCCCTTTACAAACCAAACTATAGAAAATTAATCTGATGCTCACTGGTGACTTGCTAAGGGATGGAGTTTCTTAGAGTTCTAGTGAGAAGTCGTGACCAATGAGGTCCATCCAGATGTCACGTGTGAAGATGGATGTCCCACCGGCGACAATGGTTGGGGTCCCGCTAAATCATGAATCGGTAGAAGTTAGAATTCATGAGCCATTAAATCGGGTTCCAGCGGCTGAATGGTATACGAGCTTGCCTCGTAACCAGGAGGTCCTGGGTTCGAATACCATGTGGTGGGTGCGTACTGCCGATGATTCCCAAACTAGGATGAAACAGCTGTTCAGTGCACTCCCTAGTATTTATATCTACCAAAAACGTAATAGTCTGTAACTGAGTAATAGGGGTGGGAGTGGGGTGGGGTGACATGACTGATACAATTAATCATAAGTGATTTCTAAAAAACAAAAGAGATTACACAATAATCAACGATTCAATGGAAGTAAGCGTCTGAGATTTGATAAGGTGAAAATCGTTATCAGATGAGAAGCAAGTTAGTTGAGTGTCGTCCACTTGACAAATGTGAAGGTGAGAGAGAGGGAGGGAGAAAATGCACAAAAGGAACATGTAAGAGTAACAACATTGAATTGATTACTAAAAATAGAAACGAATAAGTAGGCAAGAGTTTAGAACCATGGTAGGTTAAGAGACTGAACAAACCTTTACTGTGCACAAAGTTCAGGGTTATACTGACGAATCGTTATCGCCAACGCCATTCACAAGTGACGAAACCTAGCACCCCCTGTATTATTCGTTCTTACTTTGTAAATACTTCTAAAAACAAAGGACTCTCATGGAGCTGCATGGCTTAAGTTCACCATGTGCTCCACAAGGGTGAACTAGTAGGTGTTTTGCATCGTTCTCTTGATAACAGTGCCGGATGATGTTCAGAAACGCGTATAGAAATTACGCGTTGCGTACACTGAACTGAACACAAACCTTGAAAACGACGACGAATTAATCGATCATTAACTTTGAATTGTTTGAGCAATTACACACAAACAACGCTATAAAGATAAATATGGTTGAAAGTTCAAAATAAACCTGATAAATCTGAAATCAACGACGCAACTATTAGTGCAACAGTCGACCTATACATCAACATGTTAGGATTTCAGTTTATTTCTACGCATAAATACTTAGCGTAAAATGATGTAAATCTAAAAGTTTGTAAAAGTATTCCGACAATAGCGAAAAGAAATGCATCACATTGAGTAATTATCTATGAAGACAGAAATATGTTATATGACAAAATAAAAAAGATACAAAAAAATACTTAGTCCCGCGCATTGCTAAATATAATATTCCCCTTATAAAAAAATTCAGTAAATAAGGCTAAGAAATATTGGTCGGTCGGTCGGTTTCCGACATAGAACTTTGCACATATGTGCGGCAGTTCAAGTCGTCACACTCCATGTAGCACACAAAGGAAGAGAAGAAAGTAGGAGAAATGCATAATATAGACAGAAAGTTGAGGTGTGAGACAAAGGATGCCAAACATACGAAGATTGTTGCTCAAGGTGTTCAGTAGACTCTGCATTTTGTCAGCGTCCTCGCCTAGAAGGACTATATCGTCTGCATATTCTAAGTCAACGAGATTATTCCCTGGTAGCAAGTCAATCGCTGAAGTGTTAGGCTTAAGTCCGTTAGTACGTTTATGATGAAGTTGGATAGGAATGGGGATAATGGGCATCCTTGACGGACGCCACTAGTCGTCACCACTTCAGATGACAACTCGTCGTAAGCCCTCACCTGGCTGCATGAGTACGAGTAGAGTGCCTTAATCAGTGCAATGTATTTTCTCGGCATTCCCTCTACAGCCAAGCATCGCCAGAGAACCTCTCGGTCGACAGAATCGAATTCCGCCTTTAGGTCAAGAAATATAATGATTTTTGGACGCCGGTAGGAATCCCTATGTTCTAGAATCTGTCGAAGGGCGAAGATATGATCAATATACCCTCTTCCTGGCCTAAAACCTGCCTGGTTTTCTCGTGTTTGTGCCTCCCGAGCACCACTTAGTCTGCGCAGTATTATTGAGCCTAGGATTTTAGATACTATATTAGTCAAGCTAATCTCTCTGTGATTATCACAAGAAGACTTGTCTCCCTTCTTGTATATCGGGATGATCAGTTACTTACACCAACCCGATGGGACTTCCTCTGATTCCCAGACGCTGCCTAGAACCTCAGTTAATGCAGACAGTAAACTGTCTCCACGGTACTCAAATACCTCTGGAGTCATTCCATCATTCCATTCCTTGCTTCAGATTAGTGACAGCTTTAGTAACCTCAGTTAAGGACGGAGAACCTGTGTCTATATCCCATTTAGGGAGTAATACATGTCCAAAGCACTGAGACCGGTATCCTGGGGTTTGTGCCACTGATAAGATTTATCAGTAGTATATTAAGAGACGTTTATCGGCGTACTAAAATCAAATAGAAGGGAGATAGATTTGATGTCAGAGAAAGCAAATGATGGAGTGTTGCGGGAAAACATGGGATACACGAAAAAAAGACACAGAAACACAATACGAAGGAATAGCAGAAGTAGCACAACGCGGAAGATCTGTACAAATGGTGATTTGAAGATGAGATGTACAAAATTTCGCTATATAGAAGTACCGAATTCCAAATAAACATTTCTTTACCAAGTATTTCATCCTCTACCGTTACATTTTTTATACCAAAAGTGGTGATTTTAACAATGTTCCTGAGCCTGCAATGCAGTAGATATCATAACCAATTACATGTTGTAACAACGACCTGTTTTGAATACTGCAAAGGTAGTAGTGATGATACTCAGTTGTGAGTTCTCAGGTGTAAATGAAAGATATCACTGACAGACTAATAATGCATCTGCACCAAGGATGATCTATATGGACTATAACTAACAAATAGAAATCCATACCCCTATCTCAGGTACATGAACTTTATCATACAACTCGCGAAAGGTTTGCCTCCACATATGGAAACAAAAAACACACTCCCACCAATCTTATTAATATTAGATTACATAAGTGTAAGATTTGAAGCTTAAAAATCTAAAATTATGAATCTGCGTCGGCTGAACACTAACATCCAAAGAGAAAGTTAAGCATAAGATTATAGGGGTGACGGTAGAACACGCTCACCAACCACGCCTCACGTGGTCCACGGTTCCAGCCTCGGGTGGAGCACTCCTAAACCTCACTAAGCCGGTAGGTAGTGAGGCTAGTAATGAGGCTAAGTTGGACATGAGGCTGGCAATCCTACCCTGTAAAATCAAAACCCCTTCACAGCTTTAGCTTGAAGCCCTATGTTCACTCGGAACGTTATTATTATTATTATTATAGCTTGATTCCACACAGTATTTTGGTACAAGTATGAAATTTTCAGCATGTGATATCGATAGCCCAAATTTAGCAGGCCGACCATTGATATCAGGTGTGCGTCGGCGGTGGACCGAACCTCGGACCATGTGCATGGTTGGCGAGAGTCCTAACCACTGTGCCACCGACGCACCGACGCAACGTAAAGCAATAAAATAAAAAATAGGGGTAGGGAGCAAAGAATCTCTCTTACACTTACCTTGATAAACCACCATAATCAAGACCTTCTTCACCAGTAAATGATATAAATAATCGACAACGTAATTCATGTGCTTTTAATCGCATAATTTGTTCAAATGAATCCACAAGAAGATTACTACGAGATACAACAACTTTAACATTTTTAGTAACTAAATTTGAATGACAAAGATAGCGGAAACTGGAGACTTTATTTTCAAATGACCAAGCTTGTTCAATATTACCACTGTAAGAGAACAAAAACACAGAGAGAGAAAAAAATAAATAAAATGTAAGTGATGTAAAATAATAATAATAATAATAACAATAATAATAAAAAAGCCCCTAAAATGTAGTTTTGTTTACACGACCGCTTTCATTCATATACCACTCAAACTGAAATTACGTATGATCGGGTATAGCCTACTCTAACCACGTGCCTGTAATTGAACCTAACAACAGGTATGTATCACATCGGCACGATTACCGAGAATGCACACTGCAACGGCTTGACGAAGTATACCGCCTGCAAACAGCACTGATTAGGTCTTTATTGGGTCTCAAGTATTGGTTTAGCAGTGACACTACTGAAAGTTTACACCATAATGAAATCGTACTGCACGCTGACGGATAAAGATAATAAAGATAAATCATTTCTCTTGGAAGACATTTATTAGTATTACAGTTATGCTGCTCTCTAACTTTGGAGAAAAAAACCTTACCAAAGGTTGACTGTAAACATTTTGGACTCTACCTTGTCAAACAGCTCCCGAATGAAGCCAGTAACTTCTAAAAAAAGGAACTCGACCCTATCAAAAGAATACCACCCTTAAACACGACGTTACTGTACTGGTCAACAATGCAGTGACTTCAAATAACTCAGTTATGTGCAACAACCTTTTGTTAGGTGTAAAACACAAGCAGCTTATAATATATGATCATCAATAACAATTACTGTTATTATGTAAGTGAGCTTTAACGCAAAAACTTTATCTACTGGAGTATTTAGTTACGCTTTATATCAGCATTAGGCCGATGCTTAAAGCGAAATACGTGCAGCAACTCAGACTGAATTCAACAATGACTGATTAAAAGCAAGTAAAGTGCTTAAGTTAAGCACAAGCAAATTATCTATCTAACAGAGAACATACACACGCCTTTAGTGTCTGCAAACGAAATGCTAAAATTATTAAACGATGAGAGGTTTTTACGCCAATAATCCCAAAGTTATGTACACCCACCGTTCTACACTTATTGCCTCTATTATCCATTTTAAAGGTAGCACCTAGGAGACTATTATTATTATTACCATTATTATTATTATAGTCATAACAAGTTATACATCATTCATAATTTTTTTATTCGTAGCCCCTACTGTTTGCCTTTCATACACAAACTTTTCAAACATATGCAAGTGTGTAATGCTGATTTGATTAACAAGAACTGAACTATCATCCTAAACTACTACTGTGGCGAGTGCTACTGATAAGATATATCAGTAGTATATAAACACATAGAAGCCTATAATCCAAAGCTTTCAAATGTATAAAAGGTATGTAGATGACACCTTTATTATTTGTAATAGTGATTGTAACTTGAATAATATATTAGATGCATTTAATGGTTGCCATCCGGCGATAAAATTCACACTCGAAATGGAGAACGAGTCTAGCATTCATTTTCTCGATGTGAACTTATCAAGGAGGACCGATGGAACTCTGAAGAGATCGATTTATCGTAAGCTGTCATGGAATGGTCAACTGACGAATTTCTGCAGCTGGGTACCCATTGGTCAAAAAAGATACCTGGTCCGGTCGCTTTTCACTCATATTCGGCGCATATGTAGCGCTGATACTGTGGAAAATGAGTTATACATCTTGAGGAAAATCCTAATAGAAAATGAATTTCCACCACGTTTTATAGATAAGAATATACATTCAAATCCTAAAAAAGTGACTTATCATCCGTACCCAAGAAAATACTTTACATGAGCTTGGAATTCAAAGGGGACTTAGCTTCCGATATCATAAAACGAAGGATATCACAGTCCCTGAAAAGAACATTCCCTGCTGCATCTTTGAGAATAGCCTTTACTAGTCGACCATTACTGTTCAATAACCTGAAGGACAAGATCCCGCTGTTGACCAACTCTATGTGTGTTTATCAACTCACCTGCTGGTGTGGAGCTAGGTATATCGGTCGTTCGAATAGACTTTTGTCCAAGAGAGTGCAAGAACACTATCCTGAATCGTTACGAAAAGGTGGAAGTGGAGCAATAAGAAGCGCGATCATTGAACATCTGGTCAACAATGATCGCCCTATCTCTATAGCCTCCGCCTTCAAAGTCATCTACAAGGCAAAGAGTAATTTACCCAAATCCCTACGTACCCGAAGCTGAAGCTTTGGCTATCGAAACAGAAAAGCCAGATCTCTGTGTACAGGAAAAGTTCGTTCAACCCCCCCAACTTTCATGGTCTTAATCCCTCTATGCTAAAGTATGGTAATCCCCAATCATATTTTAGCTGTACCAATTTTTCATTTTTGTCTATTCAATTTGTATACTCTTCCTTATTACGTCAGTTGTTAATATTACTACCCTCACTTTTAACTGTCCCCGGTATTATTTCACTTGTTCCACTTGTCATTCTAAATCAATCCCTTTTTACAACATTAAATTCGATGCTTTCAAATTTCACACAATATTACGTAACGTTTTTATTTTATTCGATTTGTCTACTAACCCTATAATTGCACACCCTTTTCAAGTTCTATCCATCCTATGAATTATTCTATATATGACATTAATTTGCTTTGCCACTTGACATTTAACTACAATTATAATCACAAACATTTTAGTTTTAATTGCATTTCATATTAATTATTATTATTTTATGCATTCACACCTATGATTTAATTCCCTCACCGGATATAACTTCTTAAAAACCATACATATATACGATTTTACAGCTTGATGATAAACTCGTTGAAGAGTCTCTTCGCTGAATCACCACTTGTTTTGATTTTCTATATGTATATAAACAGACGTTCATCGGCATAAAAAAAATCAAAAAGCACGGAGATACATTTGGTTTCAGAGAAGGGAAATGATACAGAGTTGTGGAAGACGTGAAAGGAACACAAAGAAACACAATATGAAGTATAGAAGTACCATAACAAGGAAGATCTGTGCAAATGTTGTGTTGAAGATAAGGTATACATCACCTGGCTATATCGAAGTACCTAATTTCCAAATAAACATTCCTTTACCGAGTCTTCGTCTTCTACCCTTACACTAATATCACTACTACTATGATACAGATATGTACCAGTTCGACCAATAACTCCCAAGTTCGAGCCCCACTCCGCTTACGTGAGTCAAGTGGGTAGCATTATCAGTTACTGCATACTAGATATGGCTAACAGGTTGCTGTGCATGAAATATATATATATGTAATGTCTGATTAAACGGGTTCTAACAATACCAGGTACCTGTTCTGTTGTCTGAATGTATTTAGTCATGTGTGTGTTCTTTTCAAGCTTTGAATTTTATTACACTGTTACACATTTGTTTTGTTTTGTTTTTTCAATTCGGTTAGAATTTTTGTTTACTCTGTTAACCAGCCTTTAAATCAACCACTTTGATATACAAGTTCGACCTTACAACTATTGTAATCAAGGGTGTTTTTTTATAGATTCAATAATTTTGTCTGACATTCTTAAATTTATTAACTAATATATAGAAATATAAATATATTTCGAAATGCGTTTTAGGCTTAAATACATTCGTGGTGAAGAAAAGCCTTAATTTCCGTAGGACACCAGCATGTACGATAATACCCATTTAGAGACAATGAACTATCTGTTCCTCTGTTGTGTTGTACTAATGTTGATAAAGCTCTTATTTTTCGATACTATAATCTATCGCATATTGTTGCAGGGTAATTTTAGAACGGAAGATGCAGAACACCCTACAAACAACGAATTCAGATGTTGTGAGATCGGCTTTCAGGCAGTGATCCACAGACTCGAGTCCCACTCCACCATAAACAGCCTGGGGAGCTGTGGCTCTTAGCCTACCACATCAAAAATCTATAGTAGGTAATTGAGCTTAAACAGCTTATAAGATAAACAGAAAAGTTTGAGAACCCTACATATAAACATGTTAGAGAACCACTAGAAAACCCAAGAGTACTAGACAGATGATTCGTCCTAATTCGGGACTTTTCACCAGTTTTCACCTATTGGGATTAGAACCCATAGCGAGCTGGTAGATCATTCAGCTACTTGGACCCGATCCAATGGCTCATGAATTCCAACTTCTGACGATTCGTGATGTATTATATACTGCGTTTGAACCGCAGTGGGTATGTACCGATGAGGAGTCCCAAATTAGGACAAAACACCTGACTTTCCAGTACTCCGAAGTCTTTTAGTGGTTCTCTAAATAATCTTAATTAACCATCAAACCTGTAACCAATCAAATCCCTGCAAGCCAACACCTGGTAATACACAAATCATACAGATATTAGTGGAAGTCACATTGAAAGTGTAAACCCAACAGAAGTGTATGCGAAAAAAAATGTAAAACGTGTACCTTGCATCTTTTCGTCTGGGATCATTAAATGTAGACGTTTTTGTATTATGATCAACAAAAAATGGAAATCCTTCAGTTGTATAACGAATTTCCCAACCAGCTGGTAATGGATGACCTTGTATTCGAGGATCTTCCCATTGGGATATTCGACTAACATGATTAACAAAATAAGAGCGACCAGACATATCGACACGTCGTTCTACAATAAAAAGAAATGACATGAATTGCTTATTTGAAAGACAACAATAACTGGAACTTTAGTGCAATTTTATAGTATAATATGAGCATGAAAGTAATGTACTAAGTACATCCACCACCACTTATTACGTTGGACAACACAATACCAGTCAATTATCAGAACGAAACCTTTCATCATATAAGTTACATTGTCGGATAGTGTAAATAAGCTTTGCTCAAAAGAAAAAGCCAAAGAAAAATTATCCATTGTGGATAAATGTCTACAGCATAATGGCTACATACACTGAGTTCATCGACGAACATCGGAACACAGCGTGGAAACGGTGGATTGCAGTACATTGCAGAAAGGATACCTTGCTACACCTTGCCTTGGAAGGTGACCTTTTGAGTATAATAAGATGCAGACTGAGTAGCGTGCTGAAAAGAACATATGCAGCCGCCAAGCAACTAAACAGGGCAATTGTGCGCCCTACCCAATTGGACACTGGTCATTTGTGAACAATCTAAAGGCCTTCAAAATCATCAAGAGGCAAACGAAACTTAGCATGCCACGTATTGTCGAGGCAATCGCCATCAGATGGTTAAAACCAAATCTATGTACCCAGTGGTGAACTTTGCACAAATATGGTGGTTGAGCGCACAAAACAAAGCTATACATTTTTGAATACGTCATTTATTTTTCTGTTCTGTTTAGAAAATCCCATTTTTTGTTTTTCATTTGGATGGCGCACTTGTCATACTCCGTTTCTCGCCATTTTAGAAAAAGTATTTTCAATAGCTATGTAACTTATTTTAGTAATATACTTTAACCGCAATTTTGAACTGTCCCACACTAAGACGAAACAGCTGTCCAGTACTTCCAGGTTTTCCGATGGTTCTCTAACCAATGTCAGCTCATGATGAAATCCTGTAACCAATCAAATCCCTACAAACCAACACTTAAATATTCGGCAAAGTTAAACTTTAAGCACCACTAACTACCAATCAGCGAATGACCTCGAACCCGCCAATCCCGTGAAGGCAATTTTGTGCATGGAATACATGTATTTATGAAAAAATGCATAAAAACTGTATAAAAAGTGTTACAGAGGATGCCTTTCTCTCACATGTGATAAAGGTAGCTACCAGTTTTAGGTTGGTGTATCAACAGGATATAATTCCATCGTGGGTAAAATTTGTTTTGATAAAATTTCATAGTGTTACACAGTAATATTTACTGAGCAATAAATTGTGCTCGAAACGTCACCAGTAAATATTACTGTCTAACAAACACTGTGAGACTTTATCAAAATAAATTTTACCCACAATGGAATTATACTCCACCTCCACATTGCACAAGTTCTATTCTTATATCAACAGAGCAATTTAACCACATACTATGCATGTAATTATTTAGGTCTCCTAATCCTAGCAATAACCTTGATCTTTGCTGAACCTAACCCTAACGTGAAAACATCCCTCAACTAACTGTAATCTAACTCGAACGAACCCTAATGTCGCATTTAGTGGGTTAATCTAACCCTAACTTGTCCTTGGCTTAAAGCGTAACTTAATCTTTCACAAACCTAAGCTGAAACTTCCCAGATGTCCCATTTAATAACATAACACTCCGATGAGCACATATTTTACTGATGGTGACAACATTATTTGCCAGGTTTCACTAATTTGCTCAGCGGGCGTTTCAAGGTCGTTGGTGCGATCGCACTCCACCGGGAGTTCGTGATGCTTAAAGTTTAACTTGACCGAATATTCGTTATCATCCTATAAATAGTCAATCCCCATTTAACTCTTAATAATTGAACAACTGACATCATTCCAGACTTATGTCACTTACAGTTTCTACCAATTGCTGCTTGTCATCGAGAGAAGAAGAAAAAATATATGTTCAAATCGTTTTTGTACTTTATATGTTTGTACTTAAAAAGAATTGAGCAAAGAATATCTTTTCCGATAACTTCCTTTTCTGGATCTACAGCTACATCTATATGCTTATATACACAGAATATTCTAGAATTATAGTTTTTTAGATACTATCGATTTATCAATTAAGATAAATGGAATTACAGATGCATAAATAAGCATAAAACTGTGATAGCAAATAGAATATCAAATAAAACTAAGGAAATTGACGATCTTTAGAACTCAGATGGCCAAGGTAAGGACAATGTCTGAACCAACTAACTTCTTTTGGATACATAAGTTAGGCTTCTTAATGTAGATTCCAACAGCCAGCCTCAACAATACGTAATAGATGAACTCTTAAGGTAAAGCTAAGATTAGTTGGTATGCGGTAGATGACTTTGAAAGGTGCGTCGTTAACATCAATCTTGTGTTCTGTATCCACAAGATCAGATAGAATACAACTATGAATGGACTTTGTCTGTCCTTTACTTAACCACGCAGGATGGTGCTCGGAAATCCGACAAAATACACGCCTACCTAATTGTACGGCCTGTGTAACTAGCTTCAAATGAGCAGTCAAATTGGTAGATACGCATACAAGAAGCGAAATTAAACAGTTTATCTTTAACTCCCGAACGCAAAATAGTGGGATAGAGGATGGTTTTGTTCAGGTTCTCGCATCATTGAAAAGAACCGACGAAATAATTTATTTTTTAAATAACCTCAATATCCTGGTACATATGTCTATACCTTGCGCTTTGTTCAAGACTAAAAAATGTCACAACTTGAGAAAGGCTCTTAAACACACATGAGCAAATCAATGAAAGTTGGGAAATACAAACAAATCACCCGGTTTAAAACTCAACTGACATTTATAATATATATAGGGCATATGAGTTAGTTCCGGTCTTCCAAGAATAAACTAATGGTAAGCAAAACAACTTAACAGCTGATTGAACTGTGAATGCCTAAGTAATGTCAGAAAATCTACCCGCCACACACTGCGTGGAATGAATTATCGTACCAGGGGTGAAGCAAAGACACACACCTCGCGGGATCATATTATCTTTCGCTTAGTATCCTCTACTAACCGCATTATATAGTCTACTGTGAACAATGCTACATTATATATAATTAACCATTCATTATTAGTTTGTAGGCAGCAAAAGAAACCATTTAATTGTGTGTAGGCCGTGTGTGTAGCTAATAATAATAATACGTCAATTAAAAGCAGAAGATGAAGAAAAAACACAACGGCATGCTGCTTTTTATAGGCAAGCAAGAATAATGTGGCAGCAGCACTGAATGAATTTTGAAACTTGCTGATTTACATGCACACACAGGCAAGACAGAAACACATATACATACACAACTACAAACGATAAAACTGCTTTATCAAATAACTGAAGATCGAGAAAATTCCTATGCCTATTTTATTTATTATTAATGAATTGCATATTTAAATGACAATAATATAGACAAGGTAGGACAGCATAAAGAGAAATCAATAGTTGAGAATATACCGTCAATCACCAACAGACAAATAACTGAAGGTTCTTAATAATAATAATAAATACATCGAGGCATCAGCTTGAGCAGCCCATATACCAAACTGGCATTGATCGATACGATCAGATTTATCAACAGGTGATCACATACATGAATAAAATAGTTCTAAATCATACTCGTACCCCAAATATTCATCAACCTTATTCAACAGCTGTACGACAACGGCACATGTCAAGTGATCCACAACGGAAAACTCAGACAAGGGTGCTTATTATCACCAATGATATTCCTAGTTGTGGTGGACTGCATTATGCGTCAGAGAGTGAGAAACGAGAAGACAGGGATATCCTAGACCGACGTGAAGAACCTGGATTTCGCGGATAACTTATGTTTGATGTCACACAAAATCGAAGACTTACAAACGAAAACCGACAAACTGGTCGAAGAACCAGCAAAGACAGGACTCCAGGTGAACATGGACAAGACGGAGGTTATGAAAATAACCAACCAACAATAACAACAACAGCAGCAACATCCAGCACCAATCACCATCAACGGGAGGGGTTTGAAAGAGGTTACTTCATTCACTTATCCAGGCAGCATTGTCTCAACTACAGGAGGAACGGACGACAATGTCAAATCGAGAGTCGGGAAGGCGAGAAACACATTCATCAACCTGAAACCAATCTGGAAATCTTCCGCTGTCACTCACCATCAACAACAAAATTTGGATTTTCAATACAAACGTCAAGTCAGTTCTTCTATACGGATCACAAACTTGGCGGGTCACAAAGAATATTTCCAACAGCCTGTTGCAGACCTTTATCAACAGCTGTCTTCGTTCTGTACTGAAGATCAGATGGCCGGAAAGAATCACAAACAAGAAACCATGGGAACAAACAAAACAAGGACCAATCGCTCAACAAATATGCAGGAGAAACTGGAGATGGATTGGACACTCGCTGAGGGTGACATCGCGCGTCAGGCCAGTACTCGAGTGGAACCCGGAAGGGAAGCGGCGGGTCGGACGTCCAAGGGTGACATGGAGGAGATCGTGTGAAGAGGAGTTGAAACAGTATGGACTAACATGGATGCAGGTGAAAAGTACAGCAGAAGACAGAAGCAAGTGGAGACGTGTAGTTGAAGCCCTATGTTCCACTAGGAACCCAAGGGAACAATAATAATTATAATAAATCATACTCGTTACATAATAAGTGCCTCTGGTGGTCCAGTCATCTAGTAAATAACGCGTACTAGGTTCGAATCTCAGTGGGAACATTATCACTCACATGGGAGCAGGTAGATCCGGTTGACGAGTATCGAAGAGGACAATATGCGCCTCCTGGATTCTACTGCTAGCTCCCCCCACTCGACCACACAAATAACTTCAAGTTAACAATAAAATAGTTCATCATCACACTGATGATGATGATCATGATGATGACGATGTACTTACCCCAATTAGCTGGAAGAGGACCAAGTGGATCCATTACTCCACAAGCTGAGGTATTTGTTCGTGAACTACCGTCTGGTAGCATACCACCAGTATTCCATACTGCATTAGCATAACGTTCATTCATTTGTTGGTGTAGAACACCATTACGTGTAGCAGCTAATTGTTGAAAATTTTCTACTGTATTTAAGAGTGTTTGATTTGGGCATAACCATGTAGTAGTTCTAGTATTGTGATCAATATAATACACACGTCCAACACTGTCTGTTCGACGTTCCCAGCTATAATGAATTATACAGAAAATTACAGCAAGTGATTCAGTTATATAATCGCATATATTTGTGATTATAATCTTGCTTACACGATCAAGAGACAAAAATATTTACCTTATAAAAGGGTTCATGAGATGTATATTACATTTGGAATATAAAGCTCTGGCTTTTCTATTTCGATGACCAAAGGCTCAGCAATACAAATGAGTCGGACCACTTAATACTTCTGCCAGGCTAATTTCCGTCTTAAAGCGGATAACTTTAAAGGAAGGGGTTGTAGGGATCAGGGCCAAAAGTATCCGCCAGATGTGTAATTATTGTGCTTCTTAAAGCCCTACTTCCACCTCTTCGTAGCCAACCTCTTTATGACAAAGCAATTTATTGTATTTTTTTCAATTATAGAAAGTTATATGTGGATTTGTGAGGGGTTCTTAGACAAGTCTAGATCCACATTGAACACAAATGTATACCGGGTAAATTACCCCCCCCCCCTCGTCACACACACTAACGCTAACCGCATAAATTCCATTTTGAAAACTAAACATCAATACTGTTCACCAAACTGAATTAATACAAAAAATGTTCGAGAGAAAGGAGATATGCAGAGGGGCGAAAATGAGTGCCAACAGTTCTTCAACCTATGTTTGTCCAGGTGAAGAACAGTAGTTTCATGTAGTGTAAACGACAGTGGTGCAACTGATAGATCTAAGCTAGATTCCGGGTACAAATCCCACCCAATCCGTCTACGGTTACATACAAGATATCGCAGTAGTATAGTTAGCCCCTCCCCTCACACACACAAACACTGAGTATCGACCATAGTCAGGTGGAAGAAAGCACCTGAATTAGGTTCAGTTTAACACTATCCCTTTTAAAGTCAGGTAGTTTAACTTCCCAGCTGGAAGGTGACATAATGTGGAGACACTGAGTACCATACGCTATTTTCAAAAACAGAACTGAACACACTAAGAGAAACTTGGTTTGGTCATATACACCTAAATGAATAAAAATTAACATCAAAGCAGTTTTCGTTACTAACCGAAATAAGCAAGAAAAAAAAACAGTAGGACTGGGGAGTTGTTTTACAATCAATTGCGTAATAGTAGTAGACACCAGTAACAAGATAGGCCCCTCAGATGTAAATAAAAAATATCTAAGAATGATGAAATGAATGAAGTTAGATTGTAATGGAAATTACTTGGCGATGTTACAGAGCAGAGATTATGCTACGGATTTCGATCAATACGTATCCGTTTTGAAACTTAATGACGGCGGTCTACTTAAATCACTGGGATACTTGAATTTCGATCCGTAAAAATGCTCGAGCTCATGCAATTATGTCAAATGATCCCTACATGGACTCGCACACATATTTAATTAGCTCCAAACAGATTGCTGAGCAATTCTTAATGGAAATGAAGAAATCTACAGAATTGGTTATCTCTTCATAGGCGACAATGCCACGTCACATAATTTACTTCAAGTTACCACCCTGTATGAAGAGGCAATATATTGGAAGTAAATACACTGAAAATATTTGTACTATGTGTTCATATATTGTCTGAAATAAAGCTAAATTTGCATTAGTCACATCTTTTGAATGAATTCCGGTAAATAGTAAACTCCGCCTATAAATTCATGATATATATTGCCACTGTCATTACATAACATCCGTGAATATTTGTTTTCGTACACAAATCAGTAGACTCTAGAGGCCAATCACCGAAAAACGGTGGACTTAAATTTAGGTGTCGGCTTTGAGGTCATTTACTGTGACTGGACACTACAAAGTAAACAATGCCATGCGTCTAGTCCTCCGCGATTGGTGCAGACTGTGAACTCTATCAGTCAAGTTTGCAATCTGGCCACCATTTAAACGGTGGCTCGCTATAACGGTGCACTCTGAATTGTTGTTCAATAGTTAGATGTAGTCGGCAAGAAGTGCATTGGACCCAGGTTTTGTGCTTGTTAGCACTGTAATTTCTTATCTTGAAGGAACACATATCCCTTTTGAAATTCGAACCTTGGCCATCTAGTACTGCATTCAGCAACATTACCACTAATTTACTCGAGCTCGTGATTGACCTCACCGTAGGACCATAATGAACACTTTGATAGGGTACTAGGTGGTGGTAACTAATGCCATGCATCTAGTCCAACGTGTTTGGTGCAGACTGTGCTACCTGTCAGTCAAGGTTGCAGTGTGTGGGTATTTAAATGAATTCCAGGTGGCAAACTGGAACGAGGTAACCGTTTCATTCTTTTTTTCGGGATTATGAGCCACACTTATTATGTGGGAGCTGCTGACGACATTAACCTAGTTGCTCAGGCTGGTGAATTAGGTACAGCCAGAGTGGAACTCAAGACCCAGATTAACCAAAAGTCAACTGTTTAAAGCAATGGAGCTACACATTCCTGTAACTATCTAATCGTGAAGAAATCATCCTGGAAAGTAAGCATTTGGTTATAATAACATTGAGAATAGATTACACGAGATAAATTTAATTGAAATAAGAAAAAATTAGTTCAGCGAAGAGTCTCTTTTCGGCGAATTCATTCACTTAGCTGTACAGTCGCAAATATATATACAATAATTTTGTGTGTGTGTGTACATTAGGTTTGTTTGATTACTAATCACCCATTATCTTGATGATGTAATCAACAACCTACACTAACTGTTATTTTGATTTTGACAAACCTAATGTACACACACACACACACAATAATTGTATATATATTTGCGACTGTACAGCTAAGTGAATGAATTCGCCGAAAAGAGACTCTTCGCTGAACTAATTTTTTCTTATTTCAATGTCTTAATGGGTATATTTCGCGAAATAAATTTAATTACCTACGAATAAGATAACAAAAGCATCCTTAGAGTTTGCATCACAACAGATTGAAAAAAATTGAAAGTAACTTACCCAGGTGGAAGAGGTGAAGGCTTACACCATGTGGTACTTTTAGTCAAATGATCCACATAATATTTTCGACCTTCTGCTGTATATTTAATTTCCCAACCTGGCGGTAAAGGTCCATCATCTGGATTCTCTGAACTAGTCGAAGATGAATTCTGTACTGATGAAGTACTTTCTGTTGAATTTGTATTATTATTAGTAGTATTACTAGTAGCAGTATTATTAGTATTACTAGCATTGTTAACATTCGTAGTTGGCATTCTTATTGAACCAGTATTACGTGGAATATCACGACGTGGTGATGGATTGTGACGACCGTTCACCTGATTAGTATGCTTGATGTTAAGATGATAGGGGAGATAATAAAAAAAACGAGAAATTCTCATTAAAATTAAATCCTGTCATCACATAAAATGCAATCACCACACACAAACACACACATACGAAAATCGAATGAACTGATTACAGTCCATCCAAAGCAGAAAAAGCATCACTATAGAATCACTTACAAAGTAATAACCAAGTGGTACATACGGTCGCCTGTGCATTTTCTAATAGGGAAGTGTAATATATATAATAAGTAATCCACGACAAATAATGTTTCTCTCGAGAAAAACGAAGAATTCACAATACAATATAATGCAATACAATACAGCTCAATAATTGTAAAATCTATAGTTATATACTATAGTAGAAAGCGTCGTGGGTTGAGAACAAAATATTTTGTTTAATATCGACTAACATGGACGAATCAAATTTATGCATTAAGAAACACAAAAATAAAACACAATGACAACTAATACATTATGAAAACAAAACCGTTATATATGTATATTATAACACCTGCCAGTGAACTGATTGATCGAAAGGCATATTTCATTTAAAAAATGACACCAAAATAAAGTCGTATTCCTAAAAGCTTATTGGTGTTTCGCTTATGGGAAGGAGTGTATTGAATTGACCCGGCTTTCTTCAAAAGGAATTCAATGAATGTTATTACAAGAATGCCGACTTAAACACCGTTCACGCAGACACACATGGAACACACAAACACACATTTATACGGACTATTTTCACTTTAAATAATAACCTAATCCAATGAGTGATAGTAAGTCGGTGGTTTAGCGGTAGAACGCTCGCCAGCTATGCCTTGCATGGTCTGGAGTCCGAGCCTCGGTCTACGCACTCTTAAACCTCACTAAGCCGGTAGTAAGGCCGGTAAAGAGACAAGGTTGGGCGTGAGGCTAGCAACCCCACCGCATAAAAACAAAACCAATGCTACCGAAAATTCAAAGCCCCAACCTGAAGCCCGATGTTTCACTTGGAACGTGAAGGAATAAAGTACAATGAATGAATAAGTGAAGCGTTGAAGTATCATATTTTTAAACTCGAAAAACAAGTGGGTTGAAAACTTTCTACGAAAAATTGGAGTAGGTGTAACTGCCGACTACTTTTTATAGTTAACAGCGTCATTCAATCAAATTCAAGTAGAGCGGCAAATCTCCAAGAATATTTGAAAACAACTCATGGATACAGATATTTCTTTGTACAGCCCGCGCAATATTTATGTGTAAGGTTTAGAATTTCGAAAGTAACCTTAGACGAATAAGGAAAGCGTAGTCTGAATGTTTATTTATTAGTTATGTTCAACACAAAACCTGGTATAATATAGCCACATGTGTGAGGGGCTGGGACACTGTCCGGGTACCCAAACCAAAGCGGGTGGTTGTCTCAGAGGACCACCTCTCTGGTCCTTTGACTTGGAGTCCTATCTGCAGGGCGAAGGAGCAGAATCAGGAGCTACGTCCCTATGGTCGCCGGTGACCAATACAAGTCCATACTCCATTTGATCTGTTTGGACTCTGGAGACCCACCATAGTAATTGCTTTCAATCTAACTGCTATCCAAACAACCTTCCTTGCATGGTGAAACCTGCAGGAACATAAATCCTAGCCAGAGTAGCTTGTTGGGTCACTGCGGTATGCAAGCCCGACCACCGCGTTAAGGAAGCAGTTTTCGACCGGGCCACCCCTGATTGAATACACCAGAAGTACTTAAGGACGGCAGACCAGGATTAGTATCTAAATGAATTGAAACTTTATTCGAGATGTGAGGGTTAAACAAGATATTCTCTGATTTCGTTCTCCCAGTCACCAAAAGAAGGGGAGAAAACTACTGATACATAAGTTCAACGACTAACATTTTCTAAAATCCTAGAATCATAGCTGGGAAACCACAGAATCAGCACACCTGTGAAAACCAATCTGGTTTCATCAAATCCAACCCTGGAGACATCCACAACAAATTCATTCTACACCACATTTCCTAACATCTACGTCCGTCAGCATAGTATGAGAATCAGAAGTTGAAAATTACTATATGAAGTCGGTAGTATGGTTTTAAGAGGTAAGGAATGGTGCTTCTCAGTCACAAGTCCCCAAGGGAAGTTCACACCAGTTAGGAGTAGGTGAGTAAACTGTCTGGGAAATAGTATTAGTGGGATGAAATCAAAATGAGGGAGGTGGGTGTATGCTCATGGAATAATGTGGACTGTTACTACTTCCTCGTTGCCCAAATCACAAAGTTAATTTCTTCCTAGCATACTAGAGAGAATAAACCTCCGTGCTGCGCGGCAGCAGGTCCCAGGAGAAAATTACTTGAAGCTGGCTGCTCACAGTTGTTTCAAGGTAAATCCTTTGGAGCTGCTTCCGTACAGAAGACCTCGCCGCTGGACACGAACGGCTGCAGGGGGTAATTCACGATGTACAACTTTTGGAGTTGACGACTTACCCACTCTTTGCCAGGACGCAATTACAATACGTAAGCCTAACGAAATATATCACAAAACCAGGGTTCCAAAGAACATCGCAGCAGCGAAAATCAGAATCACCTGGAAAAGTACTTTTTTGAAAAGTTTATTCCTTTGCGTTCCGAGTTGAACATAGGGCTTCAGACTAGAGCCCTAAGGTTTCAGCAGTAGTGGTTTGCTAGTCTCACGCCCAACCTTCTCTTTTTGTCCTGCTTACAACTGACTACAAGAGGTAAAAGGTTTGCGCCGGCCGGGAATTGAACCCCGAACCACAGAATAGATGTTTTGTCTAAGTTTGAGACTTTGTGAAAGTGAACAATCTTGACATTACCAGTAGTCAAACTCGAAACTATCAATCCATGAGGCAAGTGTGTAGCCCTCCACCTATTAGGAAGGAATTCAACAACCCATAAATTCCACCTGTAAATTCATAATATGCTGCCAGCGTTATCTACTATCATTAGTGAATATCTTTTTAACTGACTGCCTGACTGAGTTCTAACATAGGACGTACCACAGAAAGGCAGCATTTAGAGTTGCCACATTCCATGTAGCACAGAGAAGTCGATGAAAGAACGAGAAATAGGATTCAAAAGTACTATAATAAGCAAGAATGTTGGGGAGAAAGAATAGGGACATGGAAAACCTCAGGACTAAATACGTATGGGAGATCACGAAGAGTGAATACATCTGTGCCAGATCTCCAACAGTCTCCGGTCATCGAATCTTAGCATCCTGAGGGCCCCAAAGTGTGATATATCTAATAAATAAACTAATGTGGAATTACTTACTACCACAGTACCCAGGTCTTACACACATATTAATATGACTTATAGTCTTCCTGTACGAAGATTAATCAATAAACTCAGCTCAGTCATTGACTGGCCGCGTTTCAACGTAGAACTTTGCACAGGAGTGCAGTAGTTTCAGCTATCATTTTAATACATTCCCACTTACATGCAATCACACAATAGGGTGCAATAGAAATTATGCTACACCTATGCCAGATATATGGAAAATTGCAATTCAAAGGCAAAAAGGAAGTAAGATTATCTAAAATAAGTTAGTGAGTTATATGAATGCATTGATAAGAATGCTTATGAGCGATAAGCTTTGCTCGAAACGTCATCCAGTTATTAATACTGTATCATTACTGTGTGTTATATATCGAATAAGCGTATCTAATATGGAATTTATACATTTCTTAATCACAGTTACATTCCTATGGACAATACGATCACAGTTTTCAGTGGTAGTATTCTTCACTTTGCAGATTGCTTTGAAGCAGGAGGTGTTTGTTGAGATGGTATAACCAGTGTTGACAAGGTGTTCGATTATCTCACTCCACTACTACCTTTCTGCAGCCATGCAGGATAGTGTTCTTGAACCATTTTGGACAAAACAGGCATCGAACGACCAATTTATATGCATATTGAAGTGGTCAGATGCAAGATCTTGCCCTTAAGGCTTCTGCAGCAGACCAATGGACGACTGGAGAACACTACTCTTAACGTTGCTGGGTGGGATGTCCTCAAAAATGATGAAATTCTTCTCTTAAAGATATCTCCCCTGAAATCCAGGTCCATGTAAAGTTTTTATTTTTGGAACAAGTAATGTTTCGTTCCTCTGGAGTTTTGGTTAGATATTCTTGTCGATGAATCTTAGTGGGTATCCATTTCGAATGAAGGTTTCTTTAGAAGATCTAGTTCTGCTTCAAGGGGCTTCAAGACTGCAGGTGGGTCGGATCCGAATGGCAAGCGATTTGTTAAAATTGCGTTTCTGTTCAACAGACATCTAATTGTAAAAACTTGTTAGTTGACCGTTCCAAATGGGTTTTCTGTGGACTGACCTTCTTATGGTTCTATCGGGTCATCCTTTAAGTTACACACCAAGAAAGGGAATTTTGAATTCGTTTTCCATTTATCAAGTGAATTTTATTGAAGAAGAGAAGACGTTCAGCGAAGAGACTCTTTTCACCGGCGAATTCATTCACATAGTTGTACAATCGCATTTATATATAATTATTTGTGTGTGTGTACATGAGGTTTGTCAAGTTTAGATAATTGATCAGATAATACAAGAATGATCTAATATAGAAGCAAGGTTAATCAGAGAGCAGCTAAAGTTAGATTGAGTTAGTAAGTTAGGTATTTCAACTTAGGTCAGGGTAGCAACCTAGGTAATTACAGGTAGAGACTAAGTAGAAGTGGGGTTGAGAATAATGCCGTTTAAATTAGAACTGAAATTGAGCAAACAAGTTGGATGACGTAACATAAATGACTAGAAATTGAGCGTTGCTCAAGTCAGTAACAGTGGTAGTGAGGTGTAGAAATTAAATCGGGTGGGGATAGAGAACAAGAAAGTTGAAAATGTAAAATATTACAATTGAGAAGACAAAATAATACTAAGGAAGAGGCAGAAAAAAGAAGATTAGGTAGAATTTACTTGTCGGCTAATAAGATAGATTACGTCCATGGCAAGTGTAGTGATTGAACGAACTTCTTCTGTATGCAGAGTTCAGGACTTAGCGAGTGAATCGCCATTGCTTCTGCAGTTTGAAGAAGTCTGATTCGTACACCTTTCGGAAGACTACTTTTTACTCTGGAGACGACTTTGAAGTTTTGTTTACAGTGTAGCTTGGTGTCCGGATTCTATCAGATGTTCTAAGATGTAGCTGCGGGGGCATTGTTTTTCTCCTTTGTAAAACCATGTTGGTAAGTGTTCGGTGATACATTTCGAAAGCGAGCGCTGGCTACGGCCAACATACCTGGCTCCACACAAACAGGCGAAGATCTTCTTAAGTGAGCGCGACAGTCGAATTTTTAGTGTTTCCGCAGATAAATCTCCGTTGAATTGAAGGTTCATGTAGAGTAATTTTTTTCGAGACGCTGATGGCAGTTGTTAAATGTTCAATGTATTATATTACAACAACAACAAGAAAAAGAAAACAATAAAAGGAGGGGATTTGTCGACTTACACGTATTGTTAATCTGGATGCTGATCTGGACAAGTGTTGAGCTAATAATGCACTGTTCAATTGACGTACTGGTACAGTGATAACTAAATCAAGATTGCCTAGGACAGTAGATGCACCGATATTAGAATTCTGTAACCACGGTAATGGTAAGATTGGTTGTGAAAATGTTAAATTATTTACTGAAATGAAGAAGAAAAGAAAACATTGCATGGATGGATGAAAGTATTGATAAGAAAACAAATATGATTTTGTAAATATTCATCAAGCGAGATTACTGGAGTGTACGAAACTCCACTACTTTGTTACACCACTGATGAGCTCAGCCCCGAAAGGTAGAAATGGCCCCACCTGGTGTTTAGCTGACTTTGATCTGACTAGCAATCAATCACTACTGGTCTGTTGTGAATGGTTTCCAACTACTCATATTAATCAGTAGTATGTAGCGTCATGCGATATATATTGCTTGCTTTCTTGATTACTATTTTGGGGCATCAAGCAGACTGAATATATATTGTGATCTGCATATTTCTGGTCTCCACGAGGAGCCAGGGAGAAATTTCACTTCAAACCCAAAAAATCTGGAAATCTTGTTTGCCAACAAGATGACCTATCTGACCTGTGCCAGCTGAACTTCAGGAGTCAACGGCAAGATCGATCTACGAATTTGCGGAGGGATCCTAGAAACCACTTTTGAGTCCTTCTTCAATGTTAGTTATCCAACTCACCTTTTCTCCGCAACAATATCCGATTATACATTTGTAGTAAATACGTGAATACACAGTTTAAGATAATCTCATTGAGAGACAAAACTTTCGCTGCATTATGTCTCCTTCTTTTTGTGACTATATGATCACGTTTCATTATCATGATAATATATACATAGTGATTCAAAGAATAGCATACTCTCATATTTATTGATAACATTAAAAGCAAGTATGTTATGGAGGATGTTAATACAAACCATCGTCTACTTTGGCATTAGAAACAATGGGTGCCTAGTCTGAGTCTTGGGGAGGGGGAGAGACAACTACACTCACTAGAAATGCAGATAGTGCCCAACCGACAAGTCCCAAATTGGACGAAATCCTCATCCTAGATTCCCCTAATAGCCATCAGGAACCGGGTAACATCGTGTTCATCTGAAAGCATCATTAAAGGGTCCATACTATGAACAGATATTTCAACAGACTTTACTGGATAGAGGAGATCACAAGGAGTAAATGCATCTGCTGAGCCACTGAGGACGACGCTGAACTATGTCAACAACAGTCTTTAGCCATTGGTCTGTAACACCCGAACGATTTCAGCCATGTAGTATACACCTCTCTCTAAGTGTCTCAAACCAGCAGTCAAAAAATTTATGGAGTGATAGCATGTTTTAGTATGATTGCCTCTTAACGTCTTTCTAGTGTGTTGTAATCAGAAAAAGAATAATCATGAAATATTGACTGACTGACTGGTTTCAACGTAGAACTTCGCACAGATGTATAGCAATTCAAGTTGCCACACTCCTTGTAGCACACAAAGCAAGACAAGAGAGTAAATGGAGGTTCAAAAGAAATGTAATAAGCACAAGTGTAAGGAAACTAGAATAGGAATATGGAAAAACAATAGTTTTAATGGATGGGATAAATCTCAAGGAGGGGATGCATCCACTCCATTGAGATCGATTTAGAGCCATATCACCAATTGTCTCCAGCCTTGATTGGTTTTCACTATCCCAAGGACCCCAATCAGGAAGTCTACGCCTTCCTATGTGGCTTAAACGAATTGTTGTAGATTTCATTGACTGATGAAGTCATGTTTTGGTTTGACCACCATTGGCTCTTTTCCAACCTGGTCCTACATCAGCTAACATTTCCCGTCGAGGTTACATACACTAACAGATTTTTATATTTTTGCATTCCTTTATACTACCCCTTCACTCACCGTGCAATAACGCATTGTTAAACGTAGTCTTATATTGTGTTTACCGCCTTAGTGACAGTTTTCTTAAAAAGGATCATTTTATCAGTAGGTGCAGTAGTTTAAGCTACCACTACAGCAGGGAGTACTGAACAGTCGTTGCACCCTAGTTTGCGACTCATCAGCATTACGTACCCACTGGAGTTCAAACCGAGGACCTTCAGGTTACAAGACAAGCAGCTTGTACACCATTCAACCACTGGGACCCAATTCAATGTCCCATGAATTCTAACCTCTCTGCCGACTAGTGATTTTAGCGCAACCAATGGCCAATTTCACCCTGGTGGGTGCATACTGCCGAAAAGCCCTAAACTGGGAAGAAATAGCTGTCCATCACTCCCTGCTGACTTCCAATGGTTCTCTAACTGATATCAATCCATGGTCAAGTTCGATACACAGATCAAATCCCTTGAAAATAGACATATCTATTTTGATTTCGTTTTTGTTGCTTATTTACATAAGCATATACTTTATTTCTGTGTACATATTACAAAAAAAGGACTACTACCTATAAAAATGCGTGGATACGATAAATCAAAAAAAAATTGACGTGATCATAAGCAGCATTAATTACTTTCTTTTTTTTCTTAAAATCAAAAATATCATTAAAACTTATCACAATGTATGCGCATAAGCACTCATCATTATACATACACGCAAACACACATGCACACACACATGAGAGAAAACGATTTTATTTCATACTAATCACTAGCTCACTGCAACAAGATATTAGCCAAAAATACCATGTATGCTAAATGCATAACAATAGCATAACAATTTCTAACAGTTTAACATCTATTTAAAACACCAAAAAATTATATGATGAAACCATTTTGTCAGTTAGTACACGTAAGAACATAACACGATTATATGATGCTGATAGCTGAACAAACACATTAAGGCGCACTACCGAAGAGTCCCGTAATGGGACGAAACAGTTGTTTGTCTAATGTGCTGCCCCCTATGGTTTTCAGTGATTTCATAACGAACTTTGGTACATGATGAAATATACACTGATACTAATCGGAATCCCTCCCCCCTACACAGCCCATATTCTGAGTATTCGTTACTATTCGTTACGATCGATTCCATTGTTTTTCTTAAAGCTACTAGATTACTTAATCATTTTCCTCTATTTTCTACCATCCTCTTCAGCTGGGTCCACGATTGACTATAATCCCACATCTTCTCCTCCCCAAACGATCTCCTCCATGTCAAGCTCGAGCTGACGACCCACTCGTCGCATTCGACGGCCTCCTCAACGCATGCCCGATAAATCCATCTCCATTTTCTTCTACATATTTTTTGAGCAATCGGCTTTTTTTTAGTTTGTTCATTGGTGCTAGTTCTTTATCACCAGCTGGCCGTTTGATCTTCACTGGAGAGCCAACGAAGGCAGCTGTTGATAAAAGTCTGTTAGTTATTTATTTAATGTTCCCTTGGGTTCCTAGTGGAACATAGGACTTCAACTGCACGTCTCCACTTGCTTCTCTCTTCTGCTGTACTTTTCACCTGCATCCATGTTAGTCCATACTGTTTCAACTCCTCTTCACACGATCTCCTCCATGTCATACTTGGATATCCCGCTCGCCGCTTCCCTTTCGGGTTCCACTCGAGCACTGGCCTGACGCGCGATGTCACCCAACGGCCTCCTCAGCGAGTGTCCAATCCATCTCCACTTTCTCCTGCATACCTGTTGGGCGATTGGTTCTTGCTTTGTTTGTTCCCATAGTTTCTTCTTGGTGATTCCTCCCTGCCATCTGATCTTCAGCATAGAGCGAAGACAGTTGTTGATAAAGGTCTGCAACAGGCTGTTGGAAATATTCTTTGTGACCCGCCGCCAAGTTTCTGATCCGTATAGAAGAACTGACTGACTTGACGTTTGTATTGAAAATCCGAATTTTGCTGTTGATGCAGGCTGAGTGACGAAGATTTCCAGATTGGTTTGAGGTTGATGAATGTGTTTCTCGCCTTCCCGATTCTCGATTTGACATGCTCGTCCGTCCGTTTCTCCTGTAGTTGAGACAATGCTCCCTAGATAAGTGAATGAAGTAAGCTCTTCCAAATCCCTCCCGTTGATGGTGATTGGCGTAATCTGTAACCTGTTGGAAATCCTTTTCGTGATGCGCAGTGCAAGTTTCTGACCTGTATAGAAGGACTGACTGACTTCACAATTGTGTTGAAAGTCTAAATCTAGTTGTTTATACTGGCTGAGTGAAGCAGAAGATTTCTAAACTGGTATCAGGTTGATGAAGGCGTATCTCGCCATTCGGATTCTCACTTTGACATCTTCATCTGTTCCGCGTGCCTGTAGTTAAGAAGATGCTTCATAGCGGATAAATGAAGGAAGCAATCTCTGTCAAATCTTTCCTGCTGATGGTGATCGGTGCTGGTTGTTGTTGCTGTTGCTGTTGGTTGGTTATCTTCATCATCCCGATCTATATTCACCTGCAGTCCTGTCTTCGCTACCTGTCTGATTTTTCTGCCGGTTTGTTGGTTTTCGCCTGCAAGTTTAAAAGTTTGTTTGACATCAGACATATATCATCTGCGAAATCCAGATCTTCTAGAGTCTTCTCATCAGTGGTCCAGCGTACTCCTGTCTCCTCGATCCCCACAGTCCACCACGATTAAGAATATCATCGGCGAAAGGCTACTAGATGAAGTTATATATATATATATATATATATATATATATATATGGAAACAGTGGATGTTTCCTCATGAAATCATTATTCTATACTCAGAAGGTAATTCACTATTAGAACACTCGCCGACCACGCTTCACATGATCCGGGGTTCGGGCCCCGGCTAAGTCGGTTGGATGTAAGACTACCAATTCCACCCAGCAAAAAATAAACACAACTGCTACTGAAACTTCAAATCTGAAGCTTGAAGCTTAACGTTTTGCTCGCAACGTAAAAAGATGAAATATTTTTTCGAAAAAATACTTCAAAGGTAGTTTCATTTCGATAAGAACTATAATCTTATTAGAAAGTAAAGAAAATCAGTTTATGATGAACGGTAAGAACTGTGAATTCCTGAAGACAATTACCAAACTTTTTTAAAAAAAGTCAATCCCGTGACTATAAAGTTCATTTCTTCAAAAAAGAAATTCACACTAATTGCATTTTCTTCAAAGTTTATACAGTCCATATGCGATGAAGATGCTGTTGAAAAGGGTCTGTCAGTTGTCTGTCTTCGACATAGAACTTTGCACATATGTGCGGCAGTTCAAGTCGACACACTCCCTCCTTGTAGCACACAAAGCAAGAGAAGAAAGTAGGAGAAATGCATAATAGAGACAGTAAACACAGGTGGGAGACAAAGGAATAGTAATAACGAAGAACAAAACAGTTTCATTAGAAATCATAAGTCACAAGGAGTGGATGCATCTGCACCAGCCAGCCATTGAAAACGATTTCGAGCCATGTCACCAATTGTTTTCAACCATTGGTTTTTACCGTCCCGAGGACCCCAACCAGTCAGGAAGTCTACACCTTCCTACATGGCTTAGACTAACTGTTGTAGATTTCATTGGACGGGTGGCATGTTTTGGTTTGACCGCCACTAGCTCTTTTCTAGTCTGACCCTATGTCAGCTAACATTCCCCACTGTCGAGGAAGACGATGACTAAGCATACGTAACACATGTTTTAACCATCTCAGTCGTCGTCGATCGATTTCCCCTCCTACTTACCTAGTACTCGACCGACGCCTAACCTCAATATTGCTCATCTTATTATACCACTTCACACGGGAGATAGAACGGAGACACCTATGATCGAACACAGCTTATCTTTTCATGTCTTCTACTCTCAATGGCCAGGTCTCACAGCTAGCCATAAAGGAGGACGGAGCGGACTGATGAGTAGTATACACGCCCTTTGGTCGATAGTCGGATATCACGTCTACGCCAGAGACGGCGTCAACTTGCATATGCGAAACTAGCCCTCTGTATTCGTGCTGAGATTTCGTCAGAGATCAACCCGTTGAGGCTGATGGTACTTCCCAAATAAGTGAAGCGGTCAACGTGATCTACTACTTCACTTCCTATTTCTAATCTAGGAGTCGGTGTAGTCCAACCCTGTAACATCATCTTGCATTTGGAGGGAGCGAATCGCATGCCAAACATTCGTAGATTGCAACTCAAGGTGTTCAGAAGACTCTGCATTTTGTCAGCGTCCTCGCCTAGAAGGACTACATCGTCTGCGTATTCTAAGTCAACGAGGTTATTCCCTGGTAGCAAGTCAATCCCTGAGTGAGTTAGGGTTAAGTCCATTAGTACATCTACGATGAAGTTGAATAGAAATGGGGATAATGGGCATTCTTAACGGACGCCACTGGTCGAAGGGTAATGAAAGTTTCACCCAGTTGATCAGTTAACGCAACCACATCAAAAATTGATTATCCACGTGAGCTACACATCTCTATTCCATCAGTTAACCATTACGAATCTTTCATACAAACCTACTGGACAATTTGTATGGTGCATGGAAAGTGAGATACGGTTCGCTGATGAAGTTAACACATGCTAGTGAAAAACAAACATTGAAATTACCGCAAAACAAACAATTTCAGTTCGGTTGCATGTATATTTTGCTTTCAAAACCATCAACAATCAGCAGTCAGTTGACACCAAAACTAAGGAGACTAGACATATGACATCGGTCACTCCCAATTGACCAAAGAATATATTCATTGTACTCCTAAATGGGGTCATAGTTGTAAAGTCAGATAGCTTAGTGATAACGTCACAATGCAGCAGTGAGTGATGCTAGTTTGAATTCTTCGAGGTTACAAACACGAAAGCCAGGTGTCCAGGAACTTCAACCATCTATCCGCATTCATTATACACACACACACACACACACACACAGAGAGAGAGAGAGAGGATCAAATAAACAATGCAAATCTTCCAGAAATGTTATCGCTAGTAATTATATAGATAACATTAAACATAGTATTTATAAACTCCTTGTAGTGATTCAACACATGACATATCACAAGTGTACACCGAAATGAGGGGAAAATAAAAGTTTGCAAAATAAAACCATCAAGAGATATCAAAATACCATTGAAAATAGGGAGAAAAGTTATAGCACTTAAAGAATTTTAGTGTTGCTATTAGGATACAAAAAGAAAGTATCACTACACATTCATTCATCCTGCAAAGGTTGATTCTGAATCGACTACAGCTCAAAAGCTGCTGCACAGACTTCAAGGGAATTAAACTGTCCTGCCATACACTATTCAAATCAAGAATCCATCAGTGCATTTAGAGAAACATTCGTACTAGTGTGTACACATTGTTCGGTAGTGGTATCTATATAAAAAAAACTGTTTAGTGCTCAACGCATGTGCTAAGTTATGGTTGTTATTATTGTTATTACTTGTTTGTTGGCCTTCTAAGTGGAACAACTGCACCACTTTTACCTAGCTCGGTGACTGTCCATGAGCTTTCATTCCCTATCCACAAGAACTCCAACGTCACCCTCAACGTTCCATTCGGGTTGCACTAAAGGAGTTGGTGTGTGAGGCTACTAAACGGTCACCCCCCTTTGAAATGCTTGTCGCTATTGCAAGAGTGGTGACAAAGTGAGTAATATAATTACAGTACAATAATCTAACCAATCATTATTAACGGAATAAATTTGAATGAGGTTACCTCCTCCATTTATCTAATAAGCCTGGTTCCAACTACAGGCAGAAGGGATGAAGATGTGAAAGACAGGACAGACTATCACTCTGAAATCAGTTTGTAAATCTTCTGCACTCAGCACAAAGAAAGAAATTCCGATTTTTAACATCAATGTTAAGTCAGTAAGTCATTCCATATGGGTGAGAAACTTCGCAAACGCAACAAGAAACTCTGGGACGAACCAAAAAAGAACCTATTTGTTAGAGAACCATTGGAAAACCACCTGGGAGTACTGGACAGCTGCGTCGTCAGCCCAGTCTGGAACTCTTCATCAGTATGCACCCACCAGAGTTCGAACTCAGGACCTTCTGGTTAAAAGGCGAGCTCGTAGACCATTAAGCCACTGGGACCCGATCCATGAATTCCAACTTCTGCCAATTCATGACACAGTGCAACTGCTAGCCAATGTCTTCGGCGAGTATTTGTCCTCACACCCAACCTGCTGCACCCTACTGGTCACGACTTCCCACTAGAACCCCAGGTAACTACCTATCTGAATAGGGCCAGTTACCAGTGAGCATCTCATCGATATTCAAGTATTGGTTTGTAGGGATTTGACCAATGTCAGCTCATGATGAAATCCTGTAACCAATCAATCAAATCCCTACAAACCAATACTTGAAAAGAACCTATTGCTGGAAAAAATATGCCCGAAGAAAACGGAGGTGGGTAGGACACACACTGAAGAGTCCGTCAAATGACATCGCACGCCAGTTAGGCCCTTGACTGGAACCCGAATGGGAAACGTCGAGTGAAGCATCCAAGGGTGACATGGAGGAGATCGTGTGAGGAGATGAGAGACCATGGGCAATCGTGAGGCCAGCTTTAAAGGACCTCAGAGAATGGAACAACCAATTCCTATCGTTATTCTGAGCTACAAACCCGTTATTGCAGTGTCGTTTATTGAAATTTTAGATAAGACGCTCAGATACTTAAAAACTGAACATGCAACTGGAAAAAAAGAATATTGTAAAGGAATGAAATTTCAATATAGTTTGAGAAAATAAAACTAAAGAAAAAACTTACACTGATTGCCATTACTGGCTGAAACACTACGTATAGAAAATCGACCAAAGCCAACTTCTGTGCCTTCATCACGTTTACTTTCACGTACTGAAAGACGAAATTCAACAATACTATCAACATCAGCTTTGAAGTTAACAACTTGATCATAATGTGGACGCCAACTACGAACAATAGGGGTTACATAAAATGGGATACAATTGAGTGCAGGTATTGTAGATGCTCCAGGCGGAAGAACTTCAGCGGTGAAATTGAATCTGTACTTGCTTAAATTTAATCTAGCCAATGAATTCCAGGCGATTGACTGTTCAAGACGTGCACGTTTAACTACCAAAAAAGAAAAACACAACAAAAGAAGTGTACTAATTTACGGGACTAATTGTAGACTTTTTCTCTTATGTTAATGAAAAGAAGAAAGCCAATGTAGACAGTCAATGAACAAAAAAGTGATCAACTTTCCGTAAGCTGCAAAACATTCACTGATGCGAATAGAAATTAAGGTAGACCTTACCAACAGATCTCGAAAAAAAATAAGTTCGTATTATATTTACGCACAACTAACCGTGCTAGAAACGCGATGAACCCACAGCTGAATGCCCAAAAGTAATTTTATTATTATAAATAGACGTGATCAGAAGGCCATTTATTAAACTACCTTGCGTACATACTTAAATTTAACCGAATATCTGTTGCTTTCGTAAATAAGAACAATGCCGATTCTAACAATATGAAGCAGAAAAAATGAAAATAAGACGACAATCACGAAGGGAGAGAGTAAAAATCTCAACCACCTGAACCGATCACTCATTCGTTTTACTTTTTACCTATGAGTACAATCATCAGATCATAGTTAAAGATACAACAGCATAAGCACTATAAGCACAAACAGTATACTCATTAGTAAAAAGAAAAAAACATGTCAAATGATTTCAAACTTAAAATCGCACTTATTTACGGTAGCAAAATCGACCAGCAAGTGGTAAGTACGCCGAAATCAATACAAGTAGGTACACAGACGAATGAGACGGGGTCAAGTAGGATGGTGCGAACTGCTACATATCCTTTGACAGGCAGTCAGAGATTGCCCCTGCGTCACATATGAAACAAGTTTGCAAATTTCAAAAGGTCCTTTTATATCCGCACTGATCAGTCCATCAGGTTTGATGTACCTCCCAAAATAAGTGAAGCCGCCAACACATCTAGCGATTTCACTACCTATCCTTAAATTAGTAGTCGGTGTAGACCAGTCCTATAGTATCTTCCTTCATTTGATCAGTATGAGTTGTATAATTGCCCGAACCTGAAGACTGACTAGTTTTCTTTAGGTCTGTTTTGTTCGGCCTTCATTCATTCATTATAACACTGGAAGCTAGGATCTTGGATACTGTATTAGTGAAATTGATTTCATTAAGGCTATAACGGGAGGATTCCCCATATACTGGGATGATCAATGATCTACAGCAGGATCATTAAAACCACCTGTGATTTCTATTACACTAATACATTCCATAGTTAATCTAGCTAATAATTCATCACGGATATCCTTGAACGCTTGTAGAGTCAAACCATCAGGTTCAGCTACTCTACTCTGTTTTAAATTAGAGATAGACTCCGCAACCTCATTGATAGATTTGGAGGTCGGAGTTACGTGGTGGTCTAGCATAATGCAGCTGTGAGCTAGCTGCATTGCCATTAGATATATTTCGCCAAACGTTTCATTCGTCTCTTCCCGCTGTTATAGAAGTTCGACCCTTCATAGAGATCATTTCACTTACCGCAGATTTCCTAAAACATGTTTCCTTAATGAGTCTAAACGATTGATAGGTATCATCTAATGCTGATGGCTTTTCCCCTAGTGTTTGCAGTCCTTGCAACGGCTTTTAATCAGCTTTCGCTCACCATCATGCTGGGAGCCTGCCAGGATGAGTCTCCCCGTATCAGTCAGCACAAATGGAACTGCAAAAACACACTTGGATTTAATAACCATTGGTTACAGATTACCAACAGCCTGCCCCAACAAATGCTAATTGCCTGAGGGAAATGTCCGGCAGATGGTGAACCCCACTACTCAACAACAGTACGACCTCGCCCTTAGACCCTTATCAAACAGTACGTAACTTACTTTATGATGGCCACTGCTTTTAGACTAACCACCATCTGACTTTTTTCCCTAAAATAAGATCAACAGGAACATTCGTTTCATCCAGTATAGCTCATTGAGTCACTGCGACAAGGAAGCGCGACTACCCAACGAACGACTGCGTTAGCGCTATGACCGGCTGTTGATGAAGTGTTCGCAAGTTTGGCATTTTCTGACTTGCCATTAAGAAACAATGTCAATAAAAGTAAAAGACATTAAAAGATTAACGGTTTTCGACCACAAATCCTTTCGCACAGCTGTCTGAGTTAGATGGGGCAACATGGCTAGTTATTACTCAGTTTTACAGTTTTAGGCTATGAGCCACATTTAATATGTGAGGGTTAATGATAGTCAGCTGTCCAGGCTGAAGTGGACTCAAATCGGAGATCCATTGATTGAAAGTTGAGTGCTTAAGCCAACGAGCCACATCACCACAGATGGGAAACATCATAAGTAATAACGAGTTAAATGCAATGTTAGGTAAGGAGAGAATGTCAGTCAATGAGGTCGTGAAGCCTCATCGATTAAGATGGCTAGAAAACTTCAAAGGTTCTAAGCTACCGCCTTTTCCGACGAAATGAGATCAAGCTGGGAAAGAATTGAGGGTGGTTAGATCGAAACACGGCAATAGTGCACAAAGTAACTGACCATACACCTCAGCAACGGAGGAAGTTGTAAACTACTTCGTTGGAGTCTTCAGAATGCTAAGAATCAATAGTTGGATATCACTAGTGACAGCTCAAAACGTTCATAATGGCGCAGATATATTTGGTCCTTATTATCTTACAAGTCCTGAAATTGTTCAGTGGTCCCAATTTAATTACTTTTTTAAGTTGCCGCCCTCAAGTAATATGGCATGTGTTGGATACTATGTCTACGTCATAACATATATATATATATACCTGTCATCTACGTCTAGGTGGAAGAAAAACTCAAGTATGAGACTGCAAATATCAGTAAACGGTACAAAAATTGTGCACCAAATGTAATTCAAAGATGTTAACCTAGAAAGGGTAAAACAGGAACACCCCTATTTTATATACAAAGTAATTACAATCTTAATTAGTCGTGATCAACATGAAAGTTATTGAAGCTTACCTATTAGTTTAACTTGAACTTCTGATAGACTCCCACTCCCAGATGACATCTAAAACCATAAAAGCCGAATCTAATGACAATATTGAAATTTTAAAAGACCGGATGATGTCAGTCAGGTAGATAATGAGGTTAACAATCATACATCACATGAGAACAGACAACACAGGGTGCTACCATTATGAACTTTTTTATCATACTACGAAATAACTTTGAAGCTGTGCTAGTGAGATGAAATATCAGTCTAACATAATTAATCTAGTCATGTTTGTTATATATATATATATATATACATATATATGTATATATATTTATATATTAGAAGACTTGGTACAATATGGGCACCATCAAAAACTCCACACCAAAACTCACAGGGTTGGAACACTGCCCAGACACCCAGACCGAGGCACATGATTGTCTTAAGAAACCAAACCCCAAGCCTTTGACTGATCCACAAGGCAGTGAAGCAGCACTCCCATGGTTTTTGGTAACTGACTGACTGGTTTCAACATAGAACTTCGCACAGATGTGCATGGTTTCTGGTGACCCAAACAGGTTTTTATGTAATGCGATCCTTTCGGATTCTGGAGCCCGTGTACACTGTAGGTTTGGAGTTAAGGTTCCCGTAGGTAGAACGCGATGTCCACCAGCCAGATTGTAAGCGACAGATGCTCACATTCACCCTAGTACCTTTATGAGGAGCACCTCCACGGCATGAAGGCAGAGACTATGAACACGTGGACACATGAGAGCTTTTCGAGAAGAAGACCGAAGTCTACCCACCCTCCGCGGTATCAGGTGGTTTAAGGGGCAATATATATGAATAAACAAGGTTACAGGTTTTTAGAAATTATAGAGACAATCCTTTTAAGTAATTTTCGCATTTACTGTAAAACTAATCATCAAAAGGAATTTGCGTTGACCTATCATGCCTATTACTAAGTAAAAATTACTATGAAATTCCTGTTGGATTAAGAGAAATCTGTTGGTAATATGGTTAGTAGAACCTTATACAAGGAAGGGAAAGCAACAATGAAGGGAAGAAGGCATAAGAGGAATATGAAATAGTGATGCTTATCGAACATGATGGCATTCTGAATGTAACTATTACTTTAGTATGACAACTGAACCTGTCTCACATCCTGAAGATATATGTATCCTGTCATTTTGTCAGTTTATTTTTTGTCAGCTGTAAAAATGGTGGGAAATACACTTTGCACGAAAGACTTTCCTTTAGGGAGACGTCTAGAAAGCATGCTGCTAGTTGGTCTAGTTGTGAATTAGCAACAAAACCACTGCTTCCTTTGTATAGTTTCAGCACACTGGTCGAGGTACGATCGAATAACTTTACATTTTGAAGCCTAAGACAGACCAGTTTATTCTTTGAATATGAGTTCAGATGTGGATGATGAAAATAATACACATCAGCAGTAGGTAAAATTCTTACTGTAAACTTTAAGCCGTGTATGGTGCGACTAGACTTCCCAACACCCAAGGTTTTCATCTTCGCATATCGCTATGAACGAAAACAGTAATACCATAACCTGACATGAACAACACATTTTAGCTACTTTAGTCAGTGAAGGTCAACAGCCTCATTCACTTACTTCAGTCAGAAGTCAGTTGCCTAGATGAAATTCTTCGCGGGCTACATGCTGTATAAGGGCTGATGGTTACCCAGGCTGAAGTAAATGAAGAAGGGTTTCGAACCCAGAAGTCATATACGAAGGCCGACTAACCATAACCTTTATTAGCCAACACTAAACCTCCGTACAGCGGTAAAATGAATTTCAGAATGACCACACTTGACACATCAAGAACCTCTAATTCTTTAACATGGTGATGGCCAAGTAACATACATATCCTTCTCCTGAAAGAAACTCAATTAATAAAATGTGTAGCAGTGGTTGATTGACCAACCACTATTGTCTGCCAGCCTCACAAAAGTGATTAATACATCAGATGTGATATAAACAGTCGCATACACAGACCAGACAGCCGAAGCCGATCAACCTACAAGGATTTCGGCAAGCTGCTGGACGAACTGGTGATAAGATGGTAATATAAGATGTAGTTAACTAAACGATTGTACGGTGTTAAAACCAGATGTACTCGGAAAACACTAGTAGCAGGAGCAACCAATTTCGAACCGCTGATATTGACTAGTAAATTATTACACCTTGTAATTTGCTCGCTTTTTGGTACCCTTTACGGTATCAGGCTGGTCAAATCTCACGACTAGAATATTACGAGTTTCTAAAAGTTTTCCTAGTGAAATTTCAATTCGCGAGTCTCCATACGAGTCATCATCACAAGCAGTATCAGCTCTATTCGGGCAACAAGAAGACAGCATATATTCCGCTGGTATTGACAAAACGTTGTATTCCAATCCTTCAGCACATTGCATAATGGAAAACCAACAAGACCCCATGGACACGTAGGGTACCTCAAGCAGTTGGCAGTCCACATGGCTGGCCTACTCATTACTATTTTCAGGTTATTCCTTTCACAAGAAGTTACCGCTTGACTGGAGGGATGCAACACTCAACCCTATCCGCGGGGGAGAACCTACGCACTATCCTTTAAAATATGGAACAATTAGTCTTACCACGACCCTAACTAGAACAGTGAAAAGAATAATCGATGAAGCTACCACGGCTTGTTTGGAAAACAACTTGTTACCCAACACCCCGAAGGTTCTCAGGGGAACTTTTTATTCTTAACAAACCTCAAAGAAAACAAAAGCTGAGTCTGGATTAGGGATAACAACAAACCCACGGATGCTGTCTTCACACATTTAAGCAAGCGTTTCAACAAAGCATCTAATATACGACTGTCCATGAAGGTTAAGTTTCAGAATAGAGGGTGTCATAATCCTGACAGCTAAGTATGCGTATTTAAAGCTTCTGCAAATTTTTGGTTTACTGATGTTAGAATAAAACCTTAAGGAGATAACATGAATTGACAAGTCTTAAATAATTAGACAATTAAGAACAATTCGCTCAGAAATGCAATTCCCAGGGAACAGCGGCCAATAAAATTTCTACTTCTCGGTTTAAATTGAAACAACAGGAACACAACACAAGAAAAAAAAGTCGAACTACAACAGTATAAGCAACCGAAGGATATGGTGGCTTTAAAAAGACGCTACAGCGGAGCTAGACATGATATTAATATCAAACAGTCAAACAATCTTCTTAAAAGTGAGTGTGAAGGTGAGGTAGCATGAATAAATATGTAGTAATCAGGAATGAAGGGGAGGTTGCATGACATACAGTAATCAGAAATACTAAGGCAGTAACCTTAGGTGTTAAAATTAATGTAAAGAAAACCTGATATAAATACGCATCTGAAGGACTGGATCTAAGCCAGCCTAAGACTTCACAATACCAATCTCTTGTTGCACGGACCATAACTAGGTAATCGTCATTTTTTTAAGCGACTCAAGATAATGACATTTTACAGGTTGTTTTATCTGACTTTACCGAAACTCTGAATAAATCTGCTGAAGAAGTTGTGGCTCACACAGAGAAATGTTCAGAAAAATCTTGTTTTGGTTTTCTTAAACACGCGTTTTTAAATAATTTATAATGAATTTACCAAAAATAGTTGCGAATATTAGAAAGAATAATACAAACGGCAAAATAAGTCTAGCAGTTAAGAGCCGAATCATTTCATCCACTGTAAACCAATTGGTGCATAAAACACCTTGTAATATCAGGGACACTCCAAAGCTAAATGGCTATGAAAAGCAACGATCCGAGTACTAACGCAGATGAGACGGTAAGAAACGTAATTTAAACCCCCCACTAATTTTGGTTATTTCCCTGAATTCTTGCGTGGACATACAGTGTACCATATTACAGCAGATCTACGAAAATGGTGTACAGAAGAGTAATCCCATTTTCATAAATGGTGCTACAAAAATTTCGATGTATAGTGTGACAGTAAAGTGTGAAATACATTCCGGCAAAATACAGCCATTACAGTTAAGGAAATACCGAAAATAAGAATGAACTTAACGACTAGTTTTTGACAGACTCAAATATAAAATATTTAGAATGTAAATTATTTATACAGGAATAAGGAGTAATACAAAGTCTAACAAATAAACTTCCACATAGCATGCAAACACACCCAAAGTTTTCGATATGCATCAACAAAAGGGTTCAACCACGGGGTAATAAGTCGCCAAAATAGAAATGCTAAACATCCAAAGAAAACTCACAGTACAGTGGGAATATATTATGTCCACGTGAACGCAACCTATCTGCGATGTTACCCTTAAAAGTGTAGACCTTTAACAAACCATTGTAACTGTTATAGTTTGTTGTGAGTAATATCCTCACAGCAACGGCACTGAAATACCATGTCTTATGAAATTATAACTACGAAACTCTTATTTTAATTAATATGTAACAGGATAAATAAAAACTTGTATACTTTCTTTAGAGAGAATTCACCTAACAGCTGATTGCCACCATTTTTCACTCAGAATCAAGAATTCAGACAGTCCTCCAATAAACTACACAGCCAAAATAAAAAATAAGCTCTTACTATTTCCTTCTTTTAATAGATATCGCCTTAAACCGCATTAAAACGAATCAAAGGTAAATTTGAAACCCACCTCTGTTGAATACCCGCCATTTTCAGGGTACTCAATATCCAATGATTCAGCTACTACAGAGTATATGAATTAATTAGTTTATCTCCCCCGTCTCTCAAAATGAATTGACTCTTTGGCGGTAGACAACCATGCGGTAGATCTCTAAGCATATATACATAGCATAGCTCCGGTACATATTATTTAATGATGGTCTATTAAGATTATGAGTAAACTAAAGCGACCCGAACAACTGATTAGATGGGCCCATAGTTAAAACGTTCAAATATGGATGCCACGCTCTAACTACATTGCATATTTTATCCGCATCTAGTATTTGAGTACTGTGTGAATACAAGGTAAATACATGTAACCTGTTGTTGGGAAATTATTTAAGCCATCCTAACAGTTGGTCATGTAGTCCTAAAGAATTCAGCTTATATACCAGCAGCAAGCTACTGACGGACGTCAAAGTAAATGGAGAGCGCTAGCTGTCATATGTCTCGACTGCAGGTTACGAAGATGGAGAAATCAATGGGATAGGTCATACAGTGCAGTGGTTTCAGGAATCCATCGTGACTAAGGCTTGTACCATTGCAGCCAAACTTGTGTTGGAGAATGACGTCCTTAAATGGTTTTTCCATGATTCCAGATACTTATGTTCTTTTGTCCAATAAGGATGACTATTTGAGTGATTTGAGATGGCATCTCATTGCGTACATTTTAAGAGAGCACATGCTCGTTAGGAAATGATAAATTCATATCAGTAGCTTGGAAAACACCAGATAGGATTTATCACTATCTGACTCTTGGAAGATCAAAAGTGGGTTAGAGAGGCCACATTAGTTTAAACTCTTCTATTTATTGTCTACATTAGCAATGTTTGTGATTTCTCTACCTCATATAGGACTTTCCCATATACCTATGGCTATATATATTCATATGTGCATGAAGTTTGTAAAACCATTTCCTACTACCACAACCATAAAGTAGATCGCCTAACATACACTGCTGTTTTAGAAAAGAGAGATGTCAAATTCTTGATTAAAGAATAGAACTTGTGCGCTGTGGTAGAGTATAATTCCACTGTGGGTAAAATTTATTTTGATAAAGCCTCACAGTTATGCAGTAATATTCACTGTAAATATTATATTATTATATCTACATGATTATACTATATTGTTACACTGCTGTTTTGTTATACATATTATACACTTACTATAGATATATTATGTTATTATATTGCATATTTATCAGTATTACTGTACAACACTGTGAGACCGTATCAAAATAAATTTCACCCACAACGGGATGTCCTATTCTTATGTAATGGACGCTACCTGCAATCCGATATAGGAAAGGAGGAATAATCTGTATTAGCGATAATTATCTTGAGGTGACATTAACAACAGGCAATGAAGAAATTACTCAAACGCATTCCAGTTGTAGGTCTCGTGATGAAGCATTCTGCAAACACACGCATTGAGACAAATCTGGCACTCATCGGCATCCAGTGTGTGCAACTCCTAAAATTTATTGCTGAGAAGTGAGAATTACATGAAAGTAAGTGTGACTTGATCTGCCCCTAAAAAACTAACCGTTTATCCATAGTAGGCTTCAGTAGTTTTATCAACTTAGAATCAAATGCCAAATCGAACAAAAGGAAAGACTTTCATCATTCAACAGACCAAGAAAGCCCTACATATCATGAAAAAGAAGTGGTTCCCACTGGGTTACTCGCCCTACCCTTCTGAATTCCTCAATTATTCACTACATCAGGGTGGCCACAGCATTTCGGAAATTCTGAAAATTGCAGTGGCTTGGTGATTAAAGAAGGCTGCTGTGTTGTAGAGGTTCACTAGTGTTATTCGTGGTTAGCGAAAAAGTGGAGGGCAAAGTAGACTAGTTTGCTACTCATAACGTTGTTCCATACCCAGCATAGGTCTTCGAAGCATTTAATTTGAGGAGAAGAACCGAAGGTGAGTCAGTTAATTCCAGGATTTTCGCGTCTTATAGTCCAAACTATTGTTATCGGTGGAAGATTCCTATCATACTGTTCTGAAACATGCAACCTACAAGTTCAATTAGGGCAAAACATGTCACTTTTAAAATACAGCCTGCGGTGAGTTGTAGTGAAAATTTAGTGTCAGACGTTTTCATTCCATCTCTCTACGTATGCAACTGTTTCCTCAGATACGCCCATGAAGAATGCCTCTCTGGACCACTGAGTGAAAAGCCTGTCAGTTTATCGGTATGTAGCGGTAAATAATTCTTGGAAACCATTAGCCTGCAGTGTTCATCACTAGCCGATGGATGCTGATCTCCACTATTTAAGTCGGCTCACCAAGTTGAAGGCTCGCGGTCAAGTATGCCTTGCATTCCGTACGCCATCGTGTCCCATTCGTCCGTTCGTGCACGATTCCTAACTAGCCAGGCATTCGTCACCGCACTTCAATTTAGACCCCTCAATATATTCCATATTATGAACGACCGATTTCTTGTTTTGATTTGCCGTCGGTCAAAGCAATTTGAGAGGACTGAGAGGAAAAGTAGGCGAATACAGAAATCTCCAATCACACCTACTACTTAAAATAATCATTCACACTGAAACCTGGCTAACCCCGACCATCGCCGACAACGAAATCAGTATAGGTGATACGGTTCTGGTCAGGAGAGATAGGGATAATACGGAAGGAGGGGCAGTTGCTATATACTTTGACAGTCAACTTAAATGTGTGCGCGCAGCGGACCCACCACTTATTGAACTCTCAGACTCCATATATTGTCATTTCGCCGTAGGCCACACCAAGCATTTACTTGGTGGCATCTACCGATCACCCAACTGTGGGGCAGAGCACAACCAGCTACTGCTCAGCACCATCGCAGGGATTCGGGACTTGGGCTATGACCAAATCACCATAACTGGAGATTCAATGCCCCATCACTGAACCTCGGTTCGGGGTATGCCCTGGGCAAATTCATTTGAAATCTACTGCAAACAATTGGAAATATGGGACTGACTGAGAATATTGGAGATGGCACTAGGCAGGGACCTAGAGGAAAGCCATCGAAACTAGACTACATTCTAACTAGTGACTAACTACTCGTCGAAAATGTCCAGATCATGACTCCTCTAGGAAGTATTAACCATGCAGTCATAGGTTTCGATTTCATTCTCCGGGAGCACCATGTCTGTGTTATAGCAAGGCGGACTATGCTGGAATGCGGGGGCCTTTGTCCGACGCAGACTGGCCCTTATTATTATACTACATATTGTTTCCTTAAATTCCTAGAGGAACATAGGGCTTCAGCCACGCGTCTCCATTGCGTTCGGTTCTCTGCTAGAGTCTTCACCTGGCTCCATGTCTGCCCACACGTTTTCATCTCCTCTTCACATGATCTCCTCCAAGTCACCCTTGCACTGACGACCAACTCGCCGCTTCCCTTTCGGGTTCCACTCGAACGATGGCTTGTCTAGTGATGTCACTTGATGGTTTCCTCAGAGTATGGCCAATCCATCTCCATTTCTTCCTGCCTATTTGTTTCACAATCGGTTCCTGGTTGGTTCGCTCCCAGAGGCCTCTGTTGCTGATCTTTTCTGACCGGCCATCTGATCTTCGGTATTGAGCGAAGACAACTGTTAATGAAGGTTTGTAGTTTGTTTGAGGTGCTCTTTATGACGCGCCAAGTCTCTGATCCGTATAGTAACATTGACTTCACATTGGAGTTGAAAATCCGGACCTTATTTTTCATGCTGAGTGCTGTTGACCTCCACACAGACTTGAGAGTAGTGAAAGCTTGTCTTACTTTTCCGATCCTTGCTTTGATATCCTCGTCAGTTCCGTCCGCCTGTAGTTGAAACGATGCTTCCCAGGTAGGTAGGTGAAGGAGGTTGTTTCTTTCAGGTTCCTCCCATTTATGCTGATTGTTGTCAGTTGTTGTTGTTGCTGTTGGTGGTGTTGCCCGGGAATTTTCATCACCTCTGTTTTCTCTATGTTCACCTGAAGTCCTCTCCTTGATGCTTCTTCTGCTAACTTGTTGCTTTTCGCTTGCATATCTTCCAGTTTGTGGGAAATCAGACATATATCATCGGCGAAGTCCAGATCCTCCAAGTTTATTGTGTGAGTCCATTTTATGCCTGTTTCCTCATTGCCCACTGTTTGTCGCATTATCCAGTCCACTGCAATCAAGAAAATCATTGGTGATAGTAGGCAGCCTTGTCTTACTCCTGTCCTCACTTCGAAGGGTTCCGTAAGTTTCCCATTGTGGATTACTTGGCATGCAGCATTGTCGTACAGCTGTTGGATGAGATGTATTATTGTCGGTGGCACCCCGTAGTAGCGAAGTAGTTGCCAAATCACCTCTCGATCGACGCTGTCGAAGGCCTTTTCAAAGTCGATGAAGTTGAGATAGAGAGGTGACTGCCATTCCAAGCTTTGTTCAATGATGATCCGTAGTGTGGCGATCTGATCAATGCATGACTTGTTTCTCCTGAATCCAGCCTGTTCCGGTCGAAGTTTTTCATCCAGGGCATGTTTGATTCTCTCCAGGATGATGCGGCTTAGTATTTTGCTTGGGATGGACAGGAGCATAATTCCGCCCCAGTTCTTGCATTGACTTAGGTCTCCTTTCTTTGGTAGTTTGAATAAGTATCCTTTCTTCCAATCCTCGGGTACTTTGCCTTCTTTCCACACCTTCTCTAGTAGTGGCGTCATCAAGTCCGCTGTTGTATCTGGGTCCATTTTCAATGCTTCTGCTGGGATTCCATCTGGTCCTGCTGCTTTTCCAGCTTTAAGCATCTTGAGTGCCTTCAGGTCTTCTGATTTCGTCGGGGGATTGGTGTTCACTGGTAGCTCTGTCTTCGTTGCTGGGCGCGTTGTAGGTGTTGGTCGATTTAGGAGTCTTTTGAAGTGTTCAGCCCAGTATTTCCTTTGCTCCACTTCTTTGGTGATTGACTTTACGTTGTCATCCTTCACCTGCTTGATTTGTGTCAAACGTTTGCCCGATAGGTACCTAGTAGTTTGGTAGAGTGTTGTGAGGTCTCCTTTGCCTGCAGCTTGTTCTGCCTCACTTGTCATGGTTTCATAGTACTTTCTTTTGTCTTCTCTGGTACTCTTCTTTACTCTTTTATTCAGTGTCTTGTAGCTTCCATTCAAATCCTGTTTTTGTTGCTCATCGGTGCACTTGGGAATCTTTTGTTTCACCATCCCTCTCTCTTCTATTAGTTTCCAAGTGTCCGTAGTGAGCCACTGTTTGTCCTGTCTCTTCTTCCTGCCTAGAACTTCCATGCAGGTTTGACTCCACACTGTTTTCAAGTTTTCCCAGTGCTTTTCGACGCTGACCTCTTCGCTAGTGTTGATTTGTGTCTCGGCTCTGTCCTTTATGCTTGCAGTGAAGATGTCCTTTGTGTCCTAGTCCTTCAGTTTTTGAGTGTTGAACTTGGCTTGTGGTCTATCTGCAGCTCCTGATTCTCTGAAAGCTTTTAATTTGATTTGGATTGTCCCTTGAGCCAACGTCTGCTCCTCTTCTTACTTTTGTGTCCAGTAGGCTGCGCCTCCACTTCCTTGAGATTGAGATGAAGTCAATTTGATTTTTGGTTCGCCCATCTGGTGACACCCATGTACCCTTGTGGATATCTTTGTGTTTGTATACGCTGCCACCAATCACAAGTTCATTGAAGGCGCAGAAGTCGGCGAAGAGTTCTCCGTTTTCATTCATTTCTCCGAGAGCTTCTCTACTCATGATGAGTTCCCTTCCTGTGTTGTCTGGTCCCAGTTTGGCGTTCATGTCTCCCATTAGTATTTTAATGTCACCAGCTGGAGTATTGTCCATTGTTGCCTGTAGTTGTCTGGCCCTTAGCATGGGATGAATTATCTGTGGATGAACACTAGGAAGTGGTAAAAAAGATTATTCATACAGTAATCTCGGATACCGTCCCTTTATTCACAACACAGCCCAAAAGAAATTCATCATGGCTGAAGAGAGGCATGCAACGTATTCTGCAAGCAAAGAGGAAGACTTGGTTTACGTGGCGCATAACTAAGAGTCAGACCGATCAGGACGCATACCTGGAACTCAGGATCCGGTGCAGCGCGAGGGTCATGAGTGACAGGAGGTGATTCCGGGCTAACCTTGTCAAAAAGCTCCTAGCAAACCCCAAAAACTTGTACCGATTCATGTCAAACAGGAAACCAACCAACCAGGGGGCATGGGCCTTAGTAGGCCCAAACGGTCAATATCTCACTCGTCTGGAGATGGCTGAAACATTCAGTTCAGCCTTCCCCAAACAGTTAAACAACAATGTGGGTATTACCGGTACGGACCAAAATCGTGGCACTACTATTTCACAGGGGGAAGACCTAGTGGCTACTCCCCAAATAAACCTGGCAATAGTACTAGCGAAGCTACGGCGACTCACACCCGGGAAGTCCCCAGGTTGGGACGAAATCGGCCATCTGTTCTGAAACAGTGCGCCGAAGCTCTCTGTAGGCCCTTATGCACAATGGATTCGGGTAAACTGTCAAGGGAGTGGAAAAGAGACATCCTTTCTCCGATCTTCAAGGGTGGGGATAGGCAAAATGCCACTAGTTATAGACCAGCAGCTCTACTCTCAGTGTTATCAAAAGTACTGGAAAGTATTATTGATGATCACATCAGGGAATACCTCGATAGGTTTAATATACTACATGAGGCCCAACACGGTTTCAGGAAAGGCAGATCCTGTGTAACAAACCTACTCTGAGCTTGGGACGATTGGACATCATGCTGGGATATGGATGTTCCAGTCCATGTGGTCTTTCTAGACTTTGAGAAGGCATTTGACACAGCTCACCATGACCTTCTCCTACACGAAATAAGCCAGGCAGGTATAGGTAAGCCACTTCTGTCATGGCTAAAGGACGACCTAGCTGAAAGGTAATTTTGGACTAAGGTCAATCGAGTTCAATCATCTTGA